GTCTCCCATTATTAAATCAAGTACTTTTTTAATATTTTCGTCAGTAGTTGACGTCGAAGGCCTTCCAGAGCGGGGTACATCTTTCACACTCTCTCTACCACGCTTAAATTCTGCTATCCATTTTTTCACGGATGATTATGACAGAGCACAATCGCCTAATGTACTGACCATGTCATCATGGATGGCTTTTGATGATAGCCCCTTCTTATGGAGGTACTTAATGACGGCACGCTGCTCGATTTGCTCCATTCGCGGAAATTATGTCCGATTACTTTGTTAATAAATTTATAAAATCACAACTAATTATCGCACACGTTTCGAACTTCACACAATGAACTAGTCTGAACTGAACTAAATAATGTGGGTAGATTTGATTTTTAGAATTGAATGGATCTGTGTTAGGCCGAGTACTTTTCAATCCACCCTCGTATGTATAGATGAATCGAGCACTGCATGATACTTAGCAAGGAAACGAATTTTTGGGAAATAATGTGTGGGTAACATGGTAATGCTATTTGATTTTTTTACAGTAATAAGTATTGTGTTACTATTTGATTTATGAATGCAACTTTTATATTATCATTATTAGCCATAAAAAGGTTTCAATTTAAAATAGGAAGACATGTAGACTTATGTAACTTACGAGTAGCTTAGGAGCCAGTCTTTAAGTTGGGTAACTAGATAAATATCTACCTATAAAACATGTATTTTATTGTATATAATAAATATTATCTTATTCGCAATGAAGATATACGCAGTAGAACAAGCGTTCGGAAGATTATATATTTTTTCTCGTTATATATCCCTCAACATCAAAACTTAAAAACAACAGTGTAAAACCACTGCGTGTTGGTAATGGTGATATAGATCTAAGTCATGGTCTTCCTGTGCTGACCGCATGAGGAAGCTCAAGGTCGCTCAGCAAGCTATGAAGAGACATATTCTTAGAAATTCTCGTAGTTAAAGACTTCGTAATGGATTCTCATTTGTTCCGCACTACCAGAGCAATCAAAATAGCTTAAACCGACAACCGATGGGGCAGACAGGTTCTCGAGTGGCAGCCTCATACCGGTAATTGAAGCGGCTTCATACTAGATGGAGTGACGTCTTGGTATGAGATGTAGGAAGTTGATTAATGCAGGTGGCTCGGGACCGTGCTTTGTGGCATTACTTGGGAGAGGCCTATGTTCAGCAGTGGACTTGTGAAGGGCTGTAATGATGATGATGAATGTTTCGGTGCCGGAGACTTCTTGGGCTATACTTTTATATTGTGGAAATTTATTTTAAATAAAAATATTTAACATTAAACGAGTTATATATAGCAAACAAAAGCTTAATTGTAAAAGAATCGAAGGAAAAAATTAGGTATCGATCCAAACTCCAAGCTTCAATATTTTTAAATCAGTTCTTTGTTAGTTGGAATCTTAATTAGGTCGAAGTATTAGTGAATTGTTAACTCAGAATAAGGGTAATTATTATCAGGAACATAATAAATACATATACCCTACTTTACGAACGGCAATATAACAATAAATTTAGTAGGCATCTTTGACCTTTGGCTAGGGTGGATATGATTTGAATTTCGAATTTGAATTTAGTTTGTTAGTATTTTTTGTAAAATATCAGTGCCATAGGCTTCTACTCTGTTCGCATGTTACGCCCTATTTTTTCCAGACGGTAAAAAAGGTCATCCAGTATATAATGTATAAACCTTCCTCTTGAACCATTCTGTGTCTATTGATGAAAACCACATCAAAATCCGTTGCGTAGTTTAAACAATATAAGCGTACAGACGGCGGGAAGTGATATTGTTTTTTGATATGTGAGATATTTGGTGGTTATTTTGTGACCTGCAGTAGCCTAAATAGTTTGTAAATGTGTGAGGTATCGTTAGGTATCATCTTGAATATGACGCTTTTTTATAACATTGGGTGACAAATTGGGTGCTCGCACACAGTCCACCTGATGGTAAGTGGATGCTGTGGCCCAGAGACATCAACATTTATTCTCAACTAAGGATCAAAATGCAAATGCGTTCGCACCCCTGAGGACTAAGATGGAATGTCTCGATTCCAGTTAAAAGGTTTGCCGGTTCTCTACACTCACCATACGAAACACAGCAGCATTACGCTGCTATTTTACGCTGATATTCTGTGAGAGCGTGGTCCTGCCGCGGTCGAGCCGACCCTTTCGTGCTACAACTATAATATCGTTGCAGTGTGGCTGTACCACGTAAAAACGGTTGCTTGAAGCATATTCAGACGAACTTTACATTAATGCAGTCCTTTATTTATATTATCCTTTAATAAGTCCTTAACTGTTACAGGCTATTAAAGTCCACTGCTGAACATAGGCCTCCCCCATAGATTGTCTCATATATTATAGTAGGATATTAGTCATAGTTGCCGCGCTTGGCAAGCGCACCGCACTTTTTATTTTTATTCATTATTAGCAAGACGCTGTTGCTCATCTCCTGATTTATTTTCTCCTGTGGCTTCTTACGACAAACTCAGGATGATATAGGGTAGCGAATATTCCCACACCGCACTACACGATGAGTTATTTATAATTATTAATCATTAATAAGTATTTCTTTTAGAATAAGGGTGGCAAACGAGCAAACAGTCCACCTGATGGTAAGTGGATACTGTGGTCCATGAACAGCTACATCTATCTTCGATTTAGAAACAAAATACAGATGCGTTGCCTTCCCTGTGGATGAAAATAAAATGCCTCGTTTCCAACAAACAGGGTCTCCGGTTCTCTACACTCACCATACGAAACACAGCAGCGTTGAGCTGCTATTTGACGCTGGTATTATGTGAGAGCGTGGTCCTTCCCCGGTCGAGCCGACCCATTCGTGCTGCAACAATAATATAGCTGCAGCGTGGCTCTACCTCGTAAAAGTAAAAGTCCTTTATTTTAATTATTAATATCTTGTTTATTTCAATAATACTAGAAATAAGTTTTCATCGCTGAGTTTTCTATAAACTTATTAAATATTATGTTATATGGAAAAATAAATTTAATGGCTGGGTAGTGCGGTAGCATAATGTGTTTCGTGTCTGGGTGTTTTTCCGTGTGAAATGCACAAACGCTTAAAAATTTTAGAAGATTTTGTGTTTGTGTTAAGATTAAAATATTAGCTATATTATCTTTAGAATTTGCTTTTTAACAGTCTATTTGAAATATAAGTAGGTTATTTAACATGAGAATTACAACAATAACTTTAGCATAATGATTGTACCTGTTCTTACTAAATTCGGAAGTATCTGAGCGTAAGCGTAGGCGCCAAGAATCAGTATAAGGACTCATAGCATTGATCGACAACATGTTTTCCTCCTCGTGTAGCGTTAACGAATAGGTGTAAGTTTCTGTGTTTAGAATAAAAATGTTTATTATTTATTAATAATAAAACCAAATTAAAAAAGTGGCGCTAAAGTGCAGTGAGATATTTAACTTTTTAGATTTATAATTTTTAAAATAGGTTTTTTTTTGTGGTATGTAGATATAATAATATATTTTGAGTTGTTTTTAAGTTATGTGTAAGTTAATAAAAGTTGTGGTTAACAACGGTATGTTAAAAGAGCATGTAATAAAAAAGTAACTTAAAATATACCAAATCGCTCTGTCGTTTTTCCGCGGAAATGTGAAACATAAGTATGCGGAAAAGTGATCGGTATAATATATTAGGTAACATAATAATACACTTTTAACACCTTCGTACTAATAATTAAATAACTTTAAACGTACATAATATTTGGTCAATGATATTAAGATTAATATCATATAATAATGTTAAGCTAAAATATAATAACACATGGTCTTTTGTTTCCTTGTTATATGACCCGAAGTAGGCATAAGCCTTCACTTGCATTTATCTTTAGCTGAATTAAAAAAGGGTTCAATACTTTAAAGTTACATTTTTTAGAATAAATAAAACTTTAAAATAAATGATAGCCGAATATTAGCTATAATTAAATATTTCCTTTATCATCATCTTTTTCTTATCTCTTTATCTTCTTATCTCTTTCTTATCTCTATTTTATCATCATCTTTTATTTAATAATTTATTTTAGTATTTTACCTCATACTCATATGTAAAAAACTTTTAAAATTTTTCATCTCTGTGTCTTATCCAAGGTTATCCAAAACTATCGTATTAGCACAGTTAACATTGACCCAGAAGTATTCTGAAAATAATAAAAGTTACTCATTGCATTACGTCATGTAGGCATACATTCATTATGACACACGTGTACTGTTTTTTAAAAACACTTTAAACTTAAAACCATTTTTGTAACAATTATAACAGGACGTTGCCAAATTTTTGTTATTTAATATACTCTTTTAAAGGGCACATTTACAAATTGGTATCAATGTTTACTAACTTGATAGCTTATTAAATGTTGCTTGAAAACAACGTATATCTATTTTTGTTTAAAAGAAAAGAAAGAGTTTAAACCATATTTCATCACAGAGTTTATTTCATGTCATTATATTTATCATTTTTTACTTGGAAGTCCAATAATATGTTAAAGTTTTAATTAACTTACTTACCTCTGCTACGCCCTTGATTGAATTACAATAAAACACTAAATTCGGTTCAGTACTTTTAATATTATGAAAAATTAAGTTGAAATAGTTTTTAAGCGCATGCATATGCATTTTATTAGTCTAATATAAATTATTTCAACGTAAAGATAACTATAAAAGTAATATAACATTTTCAGCCGGCTTTGTAAAAAATGAGGTTCTCGATTCGAACGGGTGTTGTTTTTTGTATGTATATTACGCGATATCTTAATAATTCTTGTTTAATGAAATAAGTTTATATATATGAGTATATTAAAATAGGTAGTATATCTTTATTCACTGTGCCTTAGCACCGACTTCTAAAGCTAATATGTGTATAAGTATTATTTTTAGCTCACTGAAATCGTCGAATATTAAGGCAGAAATTAAATATAATTTCGTGGTCGTAATTTGTATTGATTAAAATGAATTATTTACAGATGGAGGGCAAGTTGCTCTATTTAGCGCCTGTGGTGCTTTTCGCCTTCCTTCTACAGGATGTAGCAGGTAAGTGCAAAGCTGAATAAAAAAATGTGCACCTTTTTATGCAATTATTTCTAGAACTACTAATAGGACTTTAAGAAATGTGCCAGGGGTTCCCAAACTTTTTCAGCTCCAGCTCCAGCTAGGTAAAATAGAGTAAAATGATACTAGGCCGAGCTTTAAAAAATAGAAAATAAAATACAAAGGGAACTTAGTACATATGACGTGTGCGCTTGGTGAACTCTACACATTTTTTCAAATAATAGGATAAGCTTAGACACCGTCCGCTCTCATTTCTTACTCCAAATTGATCTTAGGCCGAAATTTGTTCTTTATTACAGCTACAGCTGAAAATCCGTTGTTTATTTGGTAGCCGCGAATACATAAGCTTAGTTTTAGTTTCCGGAGAATGGTAAATAGGATCGAATCGCAGCGCACACGGCGCCCCTCTTTACCTTGCTCCGCACAAATGTGCCGCGTTGCACACTTTGGAAGCCCCTGGTATATTCAGATAATAGAATCATAGGTGCGTGTTTTTCAAACACACTTATGCTAAATAAGTTAACCTTTTTTGTACAAAAATCCACTTAAATGTTGTCCCATTGCGTGGGCAGTGAAAACGTTATACCGGTTTGAATGAAACGAGTTTATACGAATTTTATTTAATATAGATATATTAACCTATTTTATAGTCCCGATGTTTCGAGTAGTTCACAGCACCAGTGGACATTAAATAAATTAATATATGCGATATAATAAAAAACTAGTTTAATTTTATGTAGTGTTCACGTAAACAAGAAATCATTAGGCTATTAATATTATACTGTATTTACCTTTTTTAGCGTCTTGAAAAAAATAGAGTGTAACATGTGAACGGATTAGAAGCTTATGGCGCTGATATTTTACATGCCTTTAACTTCGAGAGTCGGAGTTAATTCAAAAGCGTTTTTGCAATCGTATTCAGGAGTTTTTTTTTTATTACACTTCCCGGCAGTTAAATAGCAAAATATTTTATGAAACCTTTTTTGACAAATAAAATCTTGAAATAAAATAATAATGAACGGAGATAAGGGTCTCGGCACCTCGGCCGTAGACGGTTATGAATCTCAAGGCTTCATTTATTGTTAAAATAAGGGCTTTGCTTTTGATTACTACGTATGTCAATACTTTGATGCTATTCATTATTGTGAACCTTTAAAAAAGAGAAATGTCTTTAACACAAAAGGGATTGGGAATTGGGTCTGCCGTACATTTTACAAGGGTTTCTTTTGGACAGCTCCTTATAGTAGGAGCGCTAAAATTGTAAGCAAATGAATCACGTTGAAATAATTTCGCACAAACCTATGCTGTTTACTTACAACTTATGGCAGCTATATTTAATATATGCTCTAAGGTTGTTTAGCACAAGGACCTTAAATATGAATAATTAGAGAACTTTGACAACCATAATGAAATCATCTCATATGTTGTAAAATAATAAAAACCAGATTAAATAATTATTACACACCAGTTTTAACTAATTGTACAGTGTACACATATGGATTGTTAATTTAAATTCGACATAAAACCACATTATTGTTTTGCTATCCTTTCGTGTCCACTTACAAACACAAAGCTGCATGTTCTAATATATTTTGTAATTAATTTTTTTTATTGAACAGGGCAAACTTACTACAACTACTATTCACCAAAGGGGTACTACGGGCGTAACCTGTACGAGCACGGACGTTCTATTTCTGACGACCTGGTGAAATGCGGTCCCCACACTTGTGGGGCTGGCGCGCACTGTACGCATGGAACCGTGCGCCCCGTGTGTGCTTGCCTGCCTGGCTACTCGGGAGACCCGCTATCACAGTGCATCAAGATTGAATGCGTCAGTGAGTATTGCGACCACATGCGCCCGTATACACAAATTCGTTGTTTAACATACATATACTGTTTAACATACATAATACCCCTGACACCAAACAGCAATTAATTGTACTCCTTACATCTTACAAAAACTTGCGCTGGATTCGAATCTGCGACCCGCAGCACCACAGTCAAACTGAGATATAACCGAGCCGTTATTCTCATAAACTGTGGGTGTACATGAAATATAGGTATGTCATTCCTATCAAGACCCGTAAAATAAAAAGTGTCCAATGATAAAAAAAAATTGACATAAACATTTAGAAGGATGCTTGTTTTTTGTAACGTCATTATTATGTAAAGTTAATAATTAATCAATAAAAAAAATGCTTAGACAAATTTGTAATTTTTTTCCTAAGTACATAATTATTAGGGATGGGCCTTGGGATTTTTTTTTATAGAAGAGGGGGCAAACGAGCATGCGGCTCACCTGATGTTAAGTGACTACCGCCGCCCATGATCAACCGCAACACCAGGGGAATTGCAGGTGCGTTGCCGGCCCTTTAGAAAGAAGTAAGCTCTTTTCTTGAAGGTCCCCAGGTCGTATCGGTCCGGAAAAATCGCCGGTGGTAAACTATTCCACAGAGAGGTTGTACGCGGACGAAAATTCCTTTTGAAACGTACTGTGATGGACCGCCAAGCATCCAGATGGTGTGGATGGTATCGGGACGTTTGCCGCGTAATGCGTTCACGAAATTTTGCGGCTGGGATTAATCCGAACAATTCCTCAGAGCACTCTCCATGGTATATGCGAAAGAAAATGCAAAGAGATGCAACATCTCATCGCAGCGCCAGTGAATCGAGCCGATCGGAAAGCACTCGGTTATCGACGATTCGAGCCGCTCTGCGCTGGATGCGGTCAAGTGGAAGGAGCTGGTACTGGGGAGCCCCAGCCCAGAGATGGGAACAGTATTCCATATGCGGCCGAACCTGCGCCTTGTAAAGTTGCAGGCGGTGTGCCAGCATGAAATACTGTCCCGCTCTGCTGAGCACGCCAAGCTTTTTTAGAGGCCAATTTGGCCTTCTCTTCCAAGTGACCACGAAACTGCACGTCGCTCGATATGTCACCGCCGAGGATTCCGATACTGGCTGAGGCAACAAGGGGAATGCCTTGTAACTGAACAGAAATCATAAATCCTATAAATGAATTATTGTCGGACATACTTCCGCATAAGCTGCAATACCGTGCCACGCGTGGGTTCCTTATGCCACACTACTTTCGATTTACATTGCATAGGTGACTATTTTTAATTTATCGACTACGTTAGCAACCGCCTTAGATATGCTCAAAGGCAACCACGCATGTTTATTGGCAGTAAGTCAAGAGATTTATACGGTGACATTGGCCTACCAATGGATAATGAATAATTTATAAGAAACTAGCTGGTACCCGGCGCATGGATGCCGCAGAAGAAATAATTGGGAGAATATACCTGTTCCAAATTTAAAGTGATTTGAAGAAAAAACGATATTATTTTAAATTTGGAAGAGTTATATTCAAATAAGGAATGATAATACATTAATTGAAGTTAAATGTTAAATGACTTTCAAATAAATTTGTCGGTACGATACGCGTATATACCCACCTAATGTAAAATAATTGTACTATACCCATAAACTTCGCACAAGTGCAAGCGATAAGTTGACACGAACAAACAAAAATTAACTTTTGTGTTTTAGATTTCTAGCGTCTAAATCGGAGATAAAAATAAAGATAACGAACAATATACAGGGTTATTTTGCAATAATCGGCCAAATTTGCAGAGAGCTTTAGAATAAGTAGTATAGCAAATGGTGAAGAAAAATTAATTAAAAAAACCTTAAACATTGTGGCCTTTTTATATTTCAATTCAAAATGTGTGGTAATGTATTATTTTAACTGATTTTACGCACTCATCCGTAAGGGTCGATCGGTAGACAAAAACATTGTTGCCCATAAATCACATTCAATTGGAGACAATTTCAAATAAAAGTAGAAGTCTTATTTACTCGTATTTTCAAAAACTGCAATAACAGTATACCATTATTTATATGTATGAACTTAAGTTTAAAATATGGCTACTCTTTGCAAAAATAACCCTGTATAATAACATTTCTGCTAAAAATTACTATATCAATACAGAAGTAGATTAAAGATTGCGCTACACCGAGTACGGTGCACTTGGCAGTTAGGATACGAAACGGTATTATTACGCAGCAACTCGGTTTCAAGGGGAAATATAATTTCAAATGGCTTAGCAAGATCCTCCGTTATGCCGAAAATATTGCAGCATTAATTTTGAAATAAATAGATTAGTTTGTTTCCTGCCCGCCCGGTTGCAAGCTTCAGGACACCGATAGTTTAGGTAATTTCTTTTTACAGTGAAAATAATGGTAATTTAAAAAAATAAAAATCATAAGCCCTGCCTTATTGTTAGTTCAGTTAGTATGAAAAGTTTCATGATCTTATTCAAAGTATTTTATAAATAACAGAGGTTTATTGTTCAGTTTGGAGGTAACTTTGGAATTTTTTTCTAATGAGAAAATTTTACGGAATCATTTTTTCGTCTAACATAGTACTTAACATTAATCCTCAACTTTACCATATATTTATTTCAAAATTAATGCTGCAATATTTTCAGTATAACGGAGGCTCTTGCTAAGTCATTTGAGGTTATATTCCCCCTTAAGTAATGTAGCCGTACCGCTGCCGCAACGGACCGGTATTCCGAGTGGCGCAGCTTTTTATTTTTATTTAATATATAACTTCCAAAATGTTTGTAACACAAAGGCTTTTTTGTTTGATTTTTACATACATAAACACTCACGCCCGTCACCCAGAGCGGTAGGCAGAGACTACGGACCTCCACAGCACGATCCTGACAGCCTCCTTTACATCCATATACCTATACTGGAGGTTAAGAGTAATCATTTCTTTTAGTATACTAATTTTCATGTCTAGCGTCCCTTCCCACTGCCGTTCACATCTGCAACATAGATTTACTATGTCACTCTTTCCTTCACTATTCTTTCTACATGACTAAACCACCCAAGCATTTCTTTCTTAATCCTGGTCACAACATCATCTTACAAACCACACTTTTCTCTTATCACACAATTTCTCACCTTGCCATTCAGACTCAGCCCTAACATACTCCTGAAAAATGCAAATGATAGCAAACAAAAACTGAAATAGTTAAAGCCAAATAGTTCCAAACTCTACGTTTACTAATAATCTTCTTTTAGAGACCAATATAATAGATGGGTAAAAGTTGTAGCTACGTACGTCCCACCGCTGGGTATAATATGCGGTTTCTCTTTTCGGAGAGGGTTATGGAGTACAACAAATAATAAAAAAAAGTTTTGACTTTCGTAGCTCTTATAAGTGTGGCTCGAGTATTTTTACTAATATAAATTATGTATATGTAATGAAGAGCCGTAGTAGTTCAAATGCTAATGACAAATGTCACTCGCCGCTCACCGTACATATTACTGTAGACAGACACGCAGGCAATCCGGTTTCGAACCGCGCCGGCACGGATGATATTTCTGATTGCAACTTTAAGTGCTAGTTTAACACGTGTGCGACGGTAAAGGAAAATATGTGTAAGAAATCCTCCATGTTTGGGGAATAAAAATATGTCGAAGACATCTGAATCCTGCCGACACGTAGAGCAGCACGACGGACTTATTTCTCCATAACCTTCTCAGGCATAAGCGAAAGACTGTGCCTAGTTGTTGGACTAGCTAGTTAGTTAGGCTAATTAGCCGTAGTCGGGACAACCCGAACCCCGCGCCCCCCATCAGTTATTTTGATAACGAACTGTAAATATTACCAACAGGCAACGACGATTGCCGCAGCCATCAGTCGTGTGTGAACCAACACTGCATCAACCCGTGTGAAGGAGCCTGCGGTAATAATGCTAACTGCGATGTAAGTTTTATCATATTATTCACTATTTAACAAAAGTGTTTTAGGTATTTACGTAAAATCAAGGAGATTTAAGGTATCAAACATAGAAATTCATAAAATGTCTCTCAGGTTGTGAAGAAAGAGGAGATTAAAAACCATAAATTTAATCAAAATTGATTCATTTTCTAAAACTAATTAGTGAAAAAGGAAAATATACAACAAATCGATGTTTTATACAGTTTATTTTAAAATCCTTATGGGCCGCTTAATTTAAATAATATATTTTAAATAATAATTTCTCCAGGTCCGTGAGCATGTCCCAGTTTGCTCATGTCCTCCATCGTACACCGGTAATCCATTCAGCGGCTGCAGGGTCGCTGATCCAGGTAAAACCATAAAATTGTTTTATACTACTCAACGCTTTAAGTAATAAAACCTAGTCAACGTGGTCATCATCCTGCGTTAGTAATGCTATTGATAGTAAAATAGTAAAATAGATAATTTTTGAAAATAAATGAAAACGTAGTAACGCCCAGTATCCTAGAATACATTACAAAATCAACTTCTTTGCATCCTGTTAATTAATATATATTATTCTATTATATTAGTTTTAGTTTGTATATATCATATGTAACTATCGTATTTATTATTTTTATGTATTGATTTATTTTATTTTTATTTATTGTTTTATTTTATATAATTTACGCAACATTTTGTATATTACTTATTTATTAGTAGTAGTAATGCACTAAGTTTGCCATTTCAGTATGTTTTCCTTTATGGGTCTACTGGAAGATATTTCAGCAAATTATGGAATAAGTAGAACCTTTGTACGAACTTAGGTACTCATTCACTTTAGTAATTACTATTAGGATCGGTTGCAAAAAATAAATAAACAATTATAATAATAAATTCCCTTACTACCTAGTCCTCGGCCGTTTGGTCAGTTATTTATTTATTTATTGTATTTAGTATATAATCTATCTTAAATATGCAGATGGGATATCTATGCATTTATAATTACAAATACAACTACACAAGAAAATAAAAGAAATATCTCCATTATGAATATTTAGTGCTTTACGAGTATGTACTACGTAGCGTAGACCCTGCGTAGGCCCTTTAAATGCATCCGCTTTGTGATTCTTAATCGATGATAGATGAAGGTGTCATGAGTTTTGCTCATTCACAACTTCATCTGTCATTGATTCGCGTCCACTGATCAGGTGGATTTTGTACTCCTTTGTCACGTTTACTTGTGTGATAAACTTACCTAAAACATAATTTCGGTTGTAAGGTAGATATAATATGTCCTTAATCATTTTACAAAGCATAAGTACATGTATTATTTTCAAGTATTCTGTTAGTTATAAGTTAAGCGAAAAGAAACATATTTAAGGTACTTCGATGTCCGTCCATCTTTAATTTTACAACTAATTTAGCATTCGCAATCCTAGCAAATAAAGGTTTTAGAAGTCAAGTATGTTAAAGATATATACAATTTCTTTCAGAGGAAGCTTGTCACCCATCTCCATGTGGTGTCAACACTAAGTGCCACGTGGCCAACAACCAAGCCATTTGTACTTGTCTTCCTGGATTCAAAGTAAGTGCGATCATTTGAATTTGCCAGTAACTCTTATTCAATACGTACATTCTTTAACTATAAATACTTTAATTTTATATGCTAACTTGTTTCGTACATTACGTCCTGTAATTTCAACAGACGAATAAAGAAGGTATTGGAAAAATACCTGCTTAAAAGTGAAGCTTCTAATACACGCATATCTATACACATACACATTATGATATCATATTATCAATGTATTACGTCCTCAATGTTTTGTATGAGCGCTTATATTTTGCTCAAACAATAGTACTTTAAAAACGACAAAAGCCTAAAGGCATGGACTGTAGAATCAGACTCTGTGTATGCACAATTTGTTGGTGACATTGCAATTAAATGTTACATGGTTTACCCATAGGCAATAAAAAAAAAACGTGATATGAATAAAAATCAAAAGTCGTGAGTTTGAATCCCTCTTTCGACCGCTGTCGTGAACTACTCCCCATGCATTTTAATCTTATCTGGAGTAGTGAACGGGAATGACCCACTGCTAATTTCCGTATGCCTAATCATTCTAGGTTTGTTCTTACTTGTTAGACTTTCTTATTCGCATCGACTATTAACTCCTTAAAACTTAATATATATTGTGGGAATCATTATTCTTCAACACTGTCAATGTTCCACGTTGTACTGTATTAATTATCGTGTACATTATTCTGATATATTACATATACTACACATGTGCACAAGATTTTTGTTCTTTAAGTTATTCGGATAAAATATTGCAAATCACTCCTGATATTGGTATCCTGGTATTAGTATCACTCCTGGTATCTATCTATCTATATATATATATATATATATATATATATATATATATATATATATATATATAATGCTATATGATACACGTTCAGGGTAGCCCGCTGACTGGTTGCACGCATGAGTGCGAAGCGGACAGCGACTGTGCAACGAAGCAGTCTTGCCGAGACTTCAAGTGCGTGAGTCCGTGCGGCGACTGCGGAGTCAATGCTGACTGCGAGACCGTGTCCGCTCACCGCGCCATATGCAAGTGCCCCAGGGTGAGAAGTTTATGTATTATTGCCAGTGTCCGAACTAAGGTTGTTTTCCAGCCGAACCCGATTGATCGGTCGCCACAATCTTAGACCGAAGCCCTTACGAAATTCAGTTCAATAAATTAGCTAAAATTAATAATAGAAATGATTGTAAAACTTTTCAATTAAATGTTTATATTGACTGTTACTTAATATAAAAAGGTATTTTAATCATCTCAAGAAGTTGATCTAGAAATGATAAAATATGTGTCGCAACGTCCATCGCGCTCTCGCTTATTCGTATCAGTTCGTTCAATTTCGGCGCTTGTTTGAAACCTTTGGCTACAGCCAAAACTGCGGCCTATTTGGCCGTGTTTTTTTTTGGCCGAAGGTGGCAGAAGCTGAAACGGAAGTCGAAGTTTCGGTCGGACACTAATTATTTCTAATATGATAATATAATATTTGTTTAGATGTAAGTTGGCGGCATAGAATATTTGGGAGAGTTCATACGTGCTGTTAATCTCGCTACCAAGCGTGATGATGAAGGAAAATCCTTCCTACGACGGAAGAAGGCCCAAATACCCAGTGGACTTGTATGGGTAGATGATGAAGAAATGCACCGCACTGTTTCATTACATGTAATGGTTTTCACATGTTCTCGAATACTATTATATTTTTCTGATATGCAAGCTCCTCACCCTTTTTCTTGCACTGCGAAAGTTAGCACTAGGCAGGCAAGGTTTATTAGCTATTTTACGCTGGTATTCACACAGAGCGTAAAATAGCAGCTTGATGCTGCTGTTTTTCGTAGAGAACCGGAGATCTGTTTTACTGGAATCTTAGTACTTAGAGGTGACAAAGCATCTACATTTTGATTCTTAATCGAGGTTAAATTTAGATGTCTATGGGCCAAAGCATCCACTTACCATCAGGTGGACTGTGTCTTCATTTGTCATTCTAATTCTATAAAAAATATCTAAAATAATCAAAAAATAACAATCTAAATAGCTAGCACCCTGCCCCGTGGCCATGTGTTAGCTGTGAAGCATGTGTAGAATATTTATCATTCCATTTCGTACAGTGACTGTCCTAAAAGGCAACCATGTCAAATGCTAAAAAAATCTCAAGACTAACTTTTATTACAGAATAAATTATAGTACAAGAAGTATAATTTAGACTCTCTTTCAATTGTGTTAAATCTTTTTCAAAACTAACCATGGCATCTATATTTTCGGCTCGGTCGAGGCAGGACCAAGCTCTCACAGAATACCGGCGTAAAACAGCAAGGTAATGCTGCTGTGTTTCGTATAGTCAGTGTATAGAACTGGAAACCCTTTTTACTCGAATCGAGGCATTCCATCTCAGTCCTCGGGGATGGCAAAGCATTTGCTTTGCCATCCCCGCATTTTGATTCTTAATTGAGGATAAATGTGTCACAGCATCCACTGTCTATGGGTCTCAGTATCCACTTACTATCAGGTGGACTGTGTGCTCGTTTGTCACCCAATGCTATAAAGAAAGCCTAGATCGGCGACAGCGTCCGCCTGACAAGCATGATGATTAAGGAAAATCCTCATTGCAGAGGTCTTTGTACACTAACTTCCCGACTTCGAGCTGCAACTGATAATTTCTTGACAGAAAAACCCAAAGACATGGGATTCGAACCCGAGAATACATGGTCAGAAGTCCCAATTAGGATTACTAGATAAACTAGCAATCAAAATAAAATGGCATAATAACGTTGTATTATGTATGGAAGCTTGATTCCACCATAACATAAAAAAGAACACAATACTGTCCGCCCACACATTGATAAATTATCATAATCTGCCTACTAAATGAATAAATAAAAGTTAATGAATATAATATTCTTTTTATAAGACCACTTTTATGCATTAAGTGTCATGTTTTTGTTGAATTTAATTAGAATTATATTATTATTTCTTACACATTAAATAATTCATTTAATGGCTTCTGTTGGTATAATGTTATTATTATAAATGTAGTAGGCAACACACCACAAATGCTAAACCTATATCTACTCGTTTGCAATAAGATATATACTTAGTAGTTGTTTTTAAAAACTCCTAATATAAAATATTGGTTAAAATTTAAAATGGCCCGTAAAAATTTGTTTATTTTTTTTCGGAAAGATCATTTCAATTCGAAGTACTTAGGTACCTACATAATTATTTGTTTTAAAGTAAATTGGATATCCTAGTTCAATAATATTAAAGTAAATATATAAAATATTGTATAATTCAATAGAATAGTATATATGCAACAGTATTACCTAACGATTTAATCATTTCAATACTGTTGCCTTTGTCTAAAATTCGCAACATTTAAATCACCTTGATAATCGGTGTAGGTGGAGATACCGAGTTCAAGCTTCCGCCAACATTCTTTGATACATCTATTGTAAAATATATAACAAGATCGGTGTCGTGGGCGATACTTTGTTTAACATTAAGTATTGTGACCAAGAGCTTAATCGTATCTACATGTCTTTGCATTTAAACAAAGAGATTTAATTTCTACTACCTATTTTGCATCTTTGCATTTAAAGAACATTAGGTAGTATTTGTGTTACTTAAACGATAATGATCCTCTAAATTGTCAAAATATGTTATATAACTGGCCAGATAGACGTTGTACTGCCCTCTTCGACGAGCCTTTGTCCTATAAAAAATCCTTAAATTCGTAATACAAAATATTGAGGTTCACCTATTCGAATAAAACTATTCTATCTCTCAAGTTGGACCAAACCAAGTGATCATAATTTTATTGAAATAAGTTCAGCAGTTTAGGGAGTTCATCGCGGACAAATAATGTAACACGTAAATTTTATATAATTTAAAGATAACCGGAAGAAGTAACGAATATGTTATGTTTTATTTTCAAATTTGATGGCGTTTATCAATCGCATAACCTTTATTGATACTAAACTATATTTATACTTGTATTTTACAGTCTCTAAAATTACTTTCATATTTATCTCATGCTAAAAGTAAACATAGCTTTTTAAACTATACACTGAATACACTTTTAGGGTTACTTCGGCGACCCATACCGTATCTGCACCGCCGAGTGCGAATCTGACAGCCAGTGTCCGAGCTACAAACCGGCGTGTTTGTACAACGCCTGCGTGAATCCTTGCACTAACGCTTGTGGTGTAAACGCCGATTGTAATCTCCGCGGATTAACGCCCGTATGTTCATGCCCTAGGAACATGACTGGCGATCCTTTCACATTCTGCAGGCCTTTCGAAGCACGTAAGTTGTAATAATTTTGTGTAAAAAATTATAGTGATCATGTGGACTATGATGAAACATGTTAAAGAGAGTCTCACGCTGTGGAAAAGGAAGGTGTTGTTTCGTATGGTGAATAACGAGAACCTTTTTATGCCAGTAACGAGGCAACCCATTTTAGTCCTTAATGACAATGCATCTGCATTATGATTATATGTAGATGTAGAAAGATGTTGAGGTAGAAGATGAGTTTATGTAGGTGTATAAGGTCACAGCGTACACTTATGTACATCTTTTGGACGGTGTGCGTGTTTGTAACTCGCACTTATAAAAACATTAAAGCTATATAAGACTTGGTTAGCGCAGTAGCAGAGCTTTTGCTGTTTGAATCCCGCGCGGATCACCCTACAAAAATTGTTTCGGGTCTGGCTATTTGTTCAAGTGAAATTTATTTATGTAAAACACCTCTTTGACACTGGCTAAAATCGTATTATGAAAGGTTACGTTTAAAAAAAATTAGTTTAATAGTTCCGAAATAGTTATTGACCTTTTAGGGTTATTTCAGAATCAGAGAAATCTAATGTTTGTGTACTATGAGTGCATTTAAATAAATTAGGTCTTCAATGATAATATTTTAATTTAATATTTTATGTTATCTTCAAATCTGTTCATAAATATGATATTATTTCATAAGAGGAATTTTTATTAAATATTTTCTACTAATAGCGGATAGTATGGAGTATAAAAGTAAGGAGTACCAACTCCTATAGTAGAATAGTTGAAAAAGTGTCCATTTGTAAGCAGTAAATAACAGTTCAAAAACTCTCCACAACAGCGCTGGAGTAGCTACTGGGATGAAATGAACTTAGCAGTTGTCGACGGTTTGAAGTGTGCTGCTAAACTGCTCAGTAGCTCTAAAATCTAAAATAATTTTATTTAGTAAATATAACCTCGAAAAAGTCGTCTATCGCACTAATATTTTTCGGCACGTTCTTTAAAATTTAGCCCATAGCTATAGTGGCGCCACCCTTATTTAACGGTTTTCTATGGACACTTTTTAATACACAGTCTGTACTCCTTACTTCTACACTCCATAGCGGATAGACAACAAAATAGATAATAAAATAAGAAATTAGTCCATAGCTTAGACCGTTATCCGCACAACATTTTTTGTCACCTTTTTAAATCTGTAGACAAACAACAAAAAATAATGAGTTAATTTCTCTTACATTTTACAGGTGATCTCTGTGAGCCCAACCCATGCGGTAAAAACGCTAAGTGTACTCCGGGCCACGACCGCACAGGTGCCGAGCGCCCAGTGTGTACCTGCCCTTCCGGATACATTGGCAACGCCCTCGTAGCATGCGAGCGAGTAAGTACTGTTTTTCAACGTTGGCGCCTAGTTTATTTATGAACCACTGATGGCTGCGGACCAACTGACCAGTAGGATGAAGTGGATTTAAGCTGGTCATTTAATTCGAACAACTGACAAGCGATGGGGAGGAAAGGCACAGCGTCGTATCACAAGCACAGTGTTGGTAAACCTCCCCTCTAGATGAAACATGCAACGCAGTCGTTAGAAGCAGGTGGCTCATAACTGCGGTCCGTTCGCAAAACGCATTTTCTTGCATGTTTTGAAGTTGGCCTATCTAGCATTGGACTTGTGATGAAGTGTAATTGATGATGACGATGATGATCACTGCGATGGTTAGTGGTGTTTTAGGTTCAAACCTTGACAATATTCAACATTTTTACCCAATTTTAAGCGCCGATTGGGTGATATCTGGATTCTACAACAGCACTGCCTATCTGCTCCAACTATGCCTATAACCATTGCAGAAGTGCAAGCAATATGTTAACAAAGTTTTATCACAATCTAATGAACGGGATGGCAGCACATAAAATACGAACAAACAAATATTAATTTTCATATAACAGATAATAATATAACAAAAAAGCCTATCAGCTTATCATTTCTACTCGTATCTCGAGCTTAATAATTACATATAATGTAATATATTATAATGATAGAGAAAATTACAGAAAAAGAAAGCATTTTATGTCATTTTATGTTTATTAGTAGTACAGAGCACTAAGTAAAATCCTAAGCATAATTAAAAAAAATCATAACCTAGTTGTCTCTAATCCACTTACGAATTATTATAGAATATTACACAAACTTCAATGTAAAATTATTATAATGTGATAACGACGACATATTACTATAAAACGAACTAGGTAAACCCTTGAAAGGTACTGAGAACTTACTCTCTCCAACTTTTGAAAATACTGTCGCAAAAACGTAACAGGGTTTTCAGGCTTATTTAAACACAGTTGTACGATACAACCTTTTAACAATAACTGAACATTGTGACTTTGAATATAACTTTCACATTGATGTAAACATTGTGCTCGTCAAAAAAAAGAAAACCTGAAGATCAAGGGGGGTAGAATAGGTTGCAGTGTGAGAGTCACAAGAATCAACAATTAGTTGTGACGGACCAAATATTAACAACTAGTGGTCTAACGGCCTGACTTGTGAAGAAATCTAATAAAGAAGAGCCAACTTCTTTAAAAAGAAGTTGATTTCGGTTGGTATTTAAACCTGGATCCCATGCAGAAATCAAGTAAGAACTGTTCTGCCACGCAGTTGTAAAATCAAATCGTAATATCCACCGTGAAGTTCCTAAACGAACTGTAGGAACTGTAACCGCGTCTTTTCGTAGCTACTGGTGATAAGAGGGCTGATCAAAAGCTAATTATAGCCATTCCGCGAAGAAACGCAGTCAGCGTTCTTGTCACTATACCGCTTCGGTAGGATAATTAAAGGTTTTAGTTTTAGTTATTTGTTCGTATGGTAGTAATATATTTTAATATCATATAAATTCTCGTAAATGTATGGATAAAACTGATTATTTTTCTGTGTCAGGGTGAATGCGAGCTGGACTCTCAGTGCGCTGATAACTTGGCGTGCGTGGGCTTCCAGTGCGTGGACCCGTGCTTAGGAAACACACAGTGCGGTTCAGGCGCCGTTTGTATGGCGCGTCGTCACATTGCTGTCTGCACCTGCGCTAACGGTAAGTGATTTATGAGCCCTATGACGTTTAATTTGAATACTAGCTTCCTATTTGTAAATATACTGTTACTGTTAACAGCTTATCAAAAGTCCGCTGCTGAATATAGGCTTCCCCAGAAATTGCCTCATAAAGAATATATGCCACACTTGGCAGGCGGGTGGGCAACTATAAACATACATTCCTAGCCGCCCGCCCCGGTTTTGCCCGGGTTGAACAATTATATAAATAGGTATAGTATATTTCAGATTTAGCTTAGTAGGTATATTTTATTTTAAACCTACCACATTTTGGTTCCACTTTTCTGCCTATTTGCCATTTTTTTTAATATAAACTGATTCTCCGCATTTTCTGACCTAAAGAGACCAACATATAATTGTCCGTGAGTAAAACAATCTTCCTTTACGTAAAGTCCAATATATTTCTACGTTAGGCCTTGGGATTTGTTAATGTGATTGAGAACATTATTACGTTGCGTTTATACTTGGAGTCTTGTTTCATTGCACAGATTAGGCGAATTAAGGTTAGACAATAAAATTATTGGAATATCGACTTAAATTTTTTGGGGTATGAGGGGGAAGACCTGAAAGGTTAGTGAGTTAAGGAATTCCTGGGGGTAATGCACGGTGTCCTCTGTATCTAATACGGTGTTAATGGATTTACACATATGTATTTTTGATTACTGCTATTTTTTCTAATATTTGTTCATTGATATGGTCAACTGAAGAATTTCGTGGCGAAACTATAGCCCTCTCGCACATCCATGTGTAATCTTTTTGAGAAATAATTTCAATTCATGGGTTTCACATTCAGAATCAAATCATTGAGAATTGGGATAGACTTTCCTAACTTATTTATCATATAAAGCCATCTTATTCAGGTATTTTTCCATCACCTACTTGTAATAGAAAACTCGCGAAACTCGTATCATCCCCTCCTAAGTGGGCTCTCATGTTTGTTCTTAAAATGAATATTAAATTTCAGGCAATTTGGGATTACACGTGAACGTTATAAACAAATCAGGTCTACCAAAGTTTCGGACGTATGTCATTACATATTGCGTCTTTTCGTGCATATATCTGGGAGAACCTGTGAATTTGACCAATATTTTGCGCATTCACGTTCTGATCTTGATTTACAGCATCTCTTAGATGGATGTAGTTTTCAGCTAATATGATCGTCAATAAAGTCTGCCCTCACGTCATCGTTCGGGTTGCTCACTTTGACACGTTATCTCCCCCTCCGCACACCGCAGCCCCTTCCCTCATCGTCACGCCGCGCCGCGCCAACCGCCTCCATAATATTAATTATTATTTCTTATCATGCGAGAGCTTTTTATATAAAAATGGTTATAGTGAGTTATCCTTAGAAGATAGACATATGCTGCCCCGGACTTTTTTAGAACTTTTTAAGAGGAACAATTCAGCGATACTATATTTTCTTGTAATTTTAACTATTTAATACAGCGCACGCTGTGGAAGCTCTCAAGAGGCACGACTTTTTCCGGCTTAGTTGACAAATAACACCTTAATATTTAGCCATAATGTAAACATATACATATCATATATAGCCTATGTCCATCTGCAGTAATTTACCTTTCAAATGGTGAAAGAAATTTTCAAATAGGAGCAATGGTTCCGGAGATTACCCTCCACATATATACAAACTCACAAAATTCGCACTCTCTCTTTATAATATTGGTGTAGATTCATATATTATATATGTCTATTACATAGCTGGAGGCCTGTAAGATGTTTGCAAGTCGTTACTTAATTCTCAATTCTCAGAGGTTCTCAATTCGACTGTTTTTATGTGCGTTCCATCAGAACTTTTTAAAACTAGATGAACTGATTTTGATAATTATTTTTTTATTTGAAGGATCATGACCTGATTCTCTTATCCTAATCTTACTTAGATACTTAATAATTAGTATTTAATTGACTTCGACTACATTGATAGTGCTCTCATTTTATTTATATTGAAGTCGGTTGTACATAATTTTTAATTTTACCGCTTGTTATTCAATAGAATTATTATCTGTCTTGGAGAATTATTTTAACTCTAACTTTATTATAAGATCACAGATAACATCCGTCGGTTTTAGAACTAATGCTCGGTTGCAGAGTAGCGGTAAACGTTTTAGGCCGCTACGAGCCGCAGGCCGCACGTTCGACTTACGAATAAACTGGGAACCAATAAAACTAAATCTTTTACTACAAATAAAACTGGCACCGGGTGTTTAATTTTTATCCATGTACAATGTCCCCCCAACATAAAAAAATCTTCAGTGTAGATGTAACTTAAAAAACATAAATCATGAGCTTATGTAATATTTTTTTATCCAGGTCACCTCGGAGACGCCCTTATAAACTGTTACGAGACAAATTCAGTAGCAGCTTCTCGCTACTACAGATTCAAACGTGATGGAAACTACACTTCAGAACCGGAAGCCCCGACCATTACTGCCACAGAAATCGTTGTTGAAGCCACTCCTAAGCCAAGCACCGACAAAGTCTTAACCAAAAAGGTCGAAACCAAAAAGGTCGAAACTGAGAAATTGAAAACCGGAAAAAAACAATAAACGACAAATTGCCTTGTAAATTATAAAACTTAAACGAAAGAAAGTGCAACATAAATTATACAATAATGACCGAATAAACTTTTAACCATCGCGAAATTAGTATCTTTTGTGTTTTATTTAATAAACCTCATTATTATGAGAACCCGAACCCAAACTAGTGAAGAGATTATAAATTTCTTATTTATAATTGTGCAAATTAAAAAAAATCCAAAAATCTTTTTCTTTGTTTATTTAGTTTGATAAAAATAACAATTGCATTTTATTTTTACCTAACAAAGATTCATAACAATATTACAAAAATAAAAACGTATGACCATTATAAACAAAAAGAGTTAAGATATAACTTAATTTCCTTGCTTTCCGTGAAAAAATCAATATTATGCGTCTAATGGTGACCACACACGGTCAGTCGATGAAGATGACTTTCATCGGTAGAACTGATATCAGTTCGAACGGATTTAAGTCAAAGAAATTTCCACACACACGGTCAGTTCAACTGATCATTCCAACTGATCAGTTCGAATTCGGACTGTGATATTTTTTTAAATATCTTATTTTCGTTATATCGTTAATTATAAACATATCAATGTTGGGGTTTCATATATAGTAAGTTAAATACAATGTCGGAGTTTTATAAATTGAAAAAATATCGATATATCGGCTTTATTTAAAAAAAAAAACCAGTAAGTAATTTTAGTTTAGTTCATTTATTATATTTATTAAGCAAATTAAATTATAAATGTATGAAAATGATAGATTATAGTTTCTTACAAATTATTGTTTAATTTAAATAAGACGATTACACTACGTCATAAGCAGCAGTGCTACCAGGCCTGGGCTCGTGCATCGACGTCTCGGGATGCAAACACCAGCGCTCTTAAAGGAAGTACAATTCTGCCTCCAGGTCCTTCAAAAGTGGCATTGTCAAGGCAAAGTCAGAGCACATCAGCAGAATTGGCGAGAAATTAGTTCGTCTTCCTTCGGGAACACGTGCATTCTGGTCTCTCGCCAAGCTGTCTAAGGGAACTTCTGTCAGCCATCTCTCCCATCTCTGTACAGGGAGGATGACTCACTGGCCCATGCCGCAAAGGACAAAGCCAATCTGCTGGGCTGTCTCTTTGCGTCCAACTCGACTCTCGATGACGGGGGGAACACACCACCGACCATCCCGCGAGTGAGTGCTCCATGCAGGATGTCCTGTTTACCCAACGCTCAGTGCGGAGAGCACTCCTCTCTCTGAACGTCAACAAGTCAAGAAGGCCGGATGGCATCAGTCCTATTGTGCTGAAGACGTGTGCTCCGGAGTTGGCACCGGTTTAAACGCGTCTTTTCTGGTACTCCTATTCCTTCGGCGTAGTCCTGAAATCATGGAAGGCAGCCCGCGTGCACCCGATCTCTAAAAAAGGTAACCGCTCCGATCCGTCCAACTATAGGCCTACCGCCATCACCTCCTTGTTCTCTAAAATAATGGAATCCATTATTAAAAGCCAGCTCATGCGGTACCTTGAAGATCACCAGTTGATTAGTGGGGAGGCGTTGGCCGTTAGTTTGAACATAACGAAGGCCTTCGATCGGGTTTGGCACAAAGCGTTTCTTACGAAGCCATCCACACCATCTAGGTGTTTGGCGGTCCACCACTGTACGTTTCACAAGGAGTTCATCCGCGTACGACCTCACTGTGGAATAGTTTACCACCCGCGATTTTTCCGGACCGATACGACCTGGGGACCTTCAAGAAAAGAGCTTAATCCTTTCTAAAGGGCTGGCAACGCACCTGTAATTCCCCTGGTGTTGCGGATGTTCATGGGCGGCGGAAGTCACTTAACATCAGGTGAACCGTATGCTCATTTGCCCCCTCTTCTAAAAAAAAAAAAACAAAACCATTACCACAGATGGTCTCCATGAAGTATAAGAATAACAATACTAGAGTTGTGGGTTGAAGTCTTATATATTAGGGACATATAGGTAATAGTAAGGTCTATGAAATAAAGCAAATATGTGGAAGGTCTCAAATATGTAAAAGCATTATATTAATAGAAATGGGACTTAAAAAGGATTATTACAGTGGTGTGTATGCTGCTTCACGAGGAGCTGAGACCGAGGTAAACTTGGATTCGCTAACCGATGTGTCCTAGACATATCATCTTAGAGTCGGTGATACGCGGGTTTGTTGTAGCAATACCACTTTCTCGTGGACATCGCACACCCATACCGTTGGTGGGCGGCGTCGTAGCGCGTAGCGATGCGTCGGCTATCTTTCGGATTGGGATGAGTGTGTTTGGTAGCACTTTTTAGTGTAACAAGCATACTCAGCTTCATGTCTTAGTGCATTAGTGCTATGATACGTGAAGTTTTGTTCACTGGCGTCTTAGTAACGTGCTAATATGATACGTTGACGTTATTTTTAGTTAACAACAGTACAAATTTTGTTAAAAATAGTAGAAAGGGATCATGTGGGTGTGTCGCGCGGGCGCCCGATCCGTATGATAGTTGCATTGATGCTTACTGATACTTGCGGTATTGCGTCTTGTGATGGATCTGCGGGTGTGCTGCGCCTGATTCTACACATTCTTGTGGTTCTGGTCGATGGAGGTATGCGGGCGGTGATGTCTGCTGGGATGTATGGGGGACCTTGGCATGGTGTATGCCCGACGATAGTCCTATTGATGCTTGTTGCGTTCTGCAGCATTGCGTCTCTTGGTATGATGGTTGTTTGGTGGGTCGCTATTCTCAATGGCGCTCTCTGCGTCTTGGTTTAACTCACACCTAAATAGCTTTGCCCAAGTCGGGTCACTTCATTTTGGGGCTGCAGACTGTCTGACCTCCATAATGTTTTATATAACAACATAAAAATATCTCTCTGTAACTTTCCCAGCTTTGAATGATTGAAGGCAACTTGTTGGTGGGTGAGACAAACATAATCGAAAATACATATACCCAACGTCAGTGACACAAACCCATTCTGATGGCAAATTATTACTATTACCTTATTATATGTTTATTACTATTGCCTTTTAACTATGTAAGTTTAACTATGCAAGTATGTAATGCAATGCAGTGATAGATTAAATGCTGTTTAAGAGTACCACTCAAATACTGAGAATGTAGGATGCAAAATAAAACACTGTTTATCGTAACTCCGTGTAATCCTCGTGGAAGCATGTTTCCAATAATCAGTAGTTGGAATGTTAGATAGCTTCTCTCTCCTCGTACATTTCAATTTTTATGAGACATCGCTTAGACTCGGTCGTCAGAATTAGTAGAAATATATGATATATACAACAATCTCTAGCGGCGGTTGACGATAACAGCTTCCTCTTTTTATTTTTTAGTCAGCTTCAAAAAAATGATCAACCGATTGCGATTTTTTTTTCACCATCGCATGTGTTATTACTAATGTCGATGTCATCATTCTCTTCTTGAGGGGAGAGTGGCGAATAGTAATACTTACTTACTTCTGTTGGCGCTACAACCCTTTGTGGGTCTTGGTCTTCTCCACAATCTGCCTCCAGTTGTCACGCTGCCTGGCTGCCTTCTTCCAGCTGGTAAACTTTCCCATCTTCCTGAGATCCTCTTCTACACAGTCACTCCAACGCTTTTTAGGCCTGCCTCTCGGTCTCTTTTGTTGCGGCGTCCACTGTGTCATTATTTTTACGGCTCTTGTGTCCGGCATTCTTTCAAGGTGACCGCCCACCTCAGTCGCTGCGAATACACGCTTGCGACACACACACACACACACACACACACACACACACGCCAGAAAACAACAGAAAGAAAAGTAAGTTTGTCAATAGAATAAACACTTACGTCCATGACCATTGATGCGTTGAAGTAACACAAACGAAGTATTGGTAGAGCCACTGCGGTCAAACGACCGGACACTGACTTAATAATGCAGCTGCTCGGTATTATATAGCACCAGTAAGTTGTATCTAATCTAAAGCATTTCCGCTCAGAAACTGATAGTAACTTTATGAGCCAACAAGCTTATCTCGCATTCTTTCGTGTTGCGACTTACGCTACACCGATGACTCCTACAAATCATGACAAAAGAATGCGATTTAATATTTTACAAATCACTAAAATTGATCATTCCTATGTTAACCATTGAGTAGATTGATGCTGTAATAATCAAGATATTAATAGTTACTTTGCAACCATCCGCTCAATTAAATAATGTGTCTTACCTAGTTTGAAGAGCACCTTCCGCCCTCCCTCAATTACGTGTACTAATCCCGTTACCACTAATCCCAGTACCACTACTCCCAACACCACTACTTCCAACACCACTATTCTAGGAAAGACACACCATGGACGATAATACGACACGCGTTTCGCCTCTACACGAGACACCTTCAGGTGATGTAGACTCTACGGCGGCTGACTGCTAAGACTTCAAACTAGGTAAGACACATCATTTAATTGAGCTGATGGTTGCAAAGTAACTATTGATATCTTTATTATAATGGATTTCCGCAAAGTAACGCCTGATTCTATCAATTACCTGTGATAATCTAATAATAGCAGTAATATCATGGATAAAGTAGATGTACAACAACATCTGAAAAAGATTCATCCCAGTCTAGAAAATAATATTTATACTGCTAAAAGATTGCCCATGAGCAACATATATAATACGCAATTTGTTTATGGATGACAAACCAGGCTCACATTGGATAGCTTTATATATCGATACGAATGGCAGCGGTCAATATTTTGATTCATATGGACGATCACCAGCATGATATCATTTAGAGTTTTTAAAAAGGAATTGTAAAAGATGGGACTGCAATGTTGATAGGATTCAGAATGAGAGGGACTTCAGTTTGTGGTGAATATTGCTTAATGTATTTGTTATATAAGTTTCAAGGATGTTCAGTGCATATTTTTACGAGCATATTTATGGGAAACACACTGTACAACGATATTTTAGTGGAAGAGATGTTTCGCTCCTATTTTATAGATAATAAGTAATAACATATTGGAAATAAAAATTGTAT